ATGTCACGGATACCATGATTTTTCTGTTTGTGTTGGAAGGCTCTAGGTGGGCCATCAGCCCTGTGTGAAGGGCAGATCCCGGGGGGCTGTTTGGAGAGTGAGCCTGCTGTGCACTCATCCTGCAGTGGTGGCTCCTGTGTCCTGCAGGACTTGGGCTTTGCAAGTTGGCACACGGGGTTGCGGTGCCTCTCAGGTTTGGCCTGACAAAGGGGTAGGAGGGTGTGACACAGAAGATCCTAGGAGAAAGGTCCCTTGTTCTTTGCAAATAATTCTTACTTAGACTTGACAAACTCACTACACCAAACATGTCTTACAGGATATTTATCCATAAAGAGTAACATGTAAGATATCTATGAGAAAGCTTGTAACTTGTCAAGATTCATAATCATTATGAGGTGTATATATGGGGTAATATATAAGGAATAATGTATTTATATTAAAAAAACAAGGAGGAGTCCGGTGGCACCTTCAAGACTAACAGATTTATTTGGGCATAAGCTTTCGTGGGTAAAAACCCATGCATCTGAAGAAGTGGGTTTTTTACCCGCGAAAGCTTGTGCCCAAATAAATCTGTTAGTCTTGAAGGTGCCACCAGACTCCTCGTTGATTTTGTGGATACAGACTAACACGGCTACCCCTCTGATATTTTGTATTTATATTGAAAGTATGCTTTATGGATTTGGAGTAACTCCTGGTCACTAGGGAATAATATGTCTCAGTAATGGTTCATTCAGGCAGGAAGAAATTGTCATCCTGCCCTGTTTTGTTGGTGGTGCAATGCATGGCTCAATTGTTTAGCCTTTTACCCAATCCTAAGAAGTTCATTGGAAAACCATCAGAGACAACTGCAAACAATCAAAATCTCCTGAAGGTATATTAAAAAAAGGAACATTACAACAAGACAGGGGTTTGCCTTGTCTATGAACAGCAACAAAAGACTATTTAATGAAAACATAAGCTGAGGAGACATCCTGAGGAGCAGGGGTGTTCTAATGAAAAATTGGATCCTGTTTCCTGTGAAGCCAGCCAGCTCTGCAGCATACTGAACTTTTTGGGGAAAACCTACTTTATTAGATAGGAAAGGTACTTATTAATAAGTATAGAGACAGGTTTTCATTTTACAGTTTTGTTGTGTATTTTAGCCATTTGTTTCTACCACACCTTCCTGTTTTTGTAGAATCTCTGTTTTTTCTTTTGTTTTATTGCAAGTGCTGTGTGTTACACAAGAAAGGGGGTTTAAGGTAAAACTAGTAAGCTGGGGCACAGTGTTCCTCTGGGGACAGAGGATCTGGGATTTCTGTGAGTATCCAATGTTAGAGGCTGGATATCCCAGAGGAATGATTCAAAGGGACTCGGTGATAGGGTTGCATCTCTTGTTTAATCTACAAGACAAAGATAGGGCTGGTATAACCCAGAGGAGAGTGCTGAGTATCTGAAAGGCTGGTGTTAGGGCACAGACACCCAGTCAGGCACAGGCAAGATTTCCTCATGCTTCAAGCATGAGGAAAACAAAGTGACCCAAGAACCATCATAGTGGGCCAAACCTGAGTGGCACTGCAACCCTGTGTGCCAGATCACAATGCCTGGGGTGAGTCTTTGTGTGGGGAGCTGGCTCTCAATCTCTGGACCCAGTCTCCTGGGACACAGGAACCACCACAGGGGGTGAATGGAGGGTGGGCTCGCTTTCCAGCCCCCAGCCACATGGGGGGCCTCCTCATTTCCCCGGCCAGGGATTATGGTTGTGGTGCTGGGGCAGAGGGTGTTACTGCAGCTGGTCGCTGCCCCTTTGGCTGTGGTGAGAAGGACATTGACCTACGACTTTAAGAGCTATAGTTGAATTTCATATGTCATGGCATTTTTTACAAAAAATTATGGAGTGGTAAACCTGTTACTTTTACTAGATTTACTGTGACTGATTTTGTGATTTCTTAAAAAAAAAAATACTGTGACACATTTGCAGAACTACTAATTAACCATGTATTTAACTCATGGAAGTGTGTGTTCATTGATGGATGTTTTGAGTTTCTTCCAATTCTTATGTGATGCTGGCAAACTAGGTGATGCCAACTCATGCCAAGGGCCCATGCCTCACTTGGATATTGTCAAATATATAGCTGGAATCAGTCTTGTGCACCTGTATGTTAGTATTGTTAAAATAGATATTAGAGTTATAAAAATGTGCTGAACATTTACTTTATCGAATGCTTTTAAATTGCTGCGTGCTGTAATCTCTTAGAACATCTGTATCCCATATTTTAAGGTAATATTTGAGTATTTGCATTGTAAGGCTGTATAACTGTGTAAGGTCTGCTCTACACTACCGAGTTAGGTCGATGCAAGGTAGCTTACATCAACCTAATTTTGGAAGTGTCTACACTTAAATTTCACTCCTGCCAATGTAACTGCCCCCCTATGCTGACTTAATAACTCCACCTCCATGAGTGGCATAGAGCCAAGGTCAGTGTTGTTATGTCAACACAGTATCAGTGTAGACACTGCATTGCTTATGTTGACTGTTACTGGCTTTCTGGAGCTGTCCCACAATGCCCCACACTGGCAGTACAATTGATACAAGTGATCGTGGTGAGGACGCGCACCACTGACACAAGCAGCAAAGTGTAGACACGCACAAGCGGTGTAATTTCTGCCATGGGCGTATGCTGATGTAAGTTAGGTTGATTTCATTTTATAATGCAGACATGGCTTAAATCACCAGACAGAAGAGAGATATTAATTAGTGTGAAATGTTGGCCTCCAACAGAAGGTGTTATGTCCTGCCTCACAAGGAAGATCAAGCAACACCAGACAAACTATTGTGGAACATCAAAATGGACTTTCTCCCCTCCTCCCCCCCCCCCCCATGAAGAGGAGATGTGCAAGTGAATTCTTCCCATCAGCTGAATTTGCAATTTGAAGCAAAGGGGGAAGGGATAAAAACCTCTAACAAGGAGGAGCTATATCTTTATGCTGCTTGGACTATGAGGGGCAAGGATTATGAAGCATAAGCAAAAGATCCCCAGTGCTTAGCCTGGGTTAGCCCTAAAGGACACGTAGAGGTTGCTTATTTCAAAATCTTTTTTTGAAACTTCAAATTGGAACTCATTTCTGTGTGTATATATGTTTACTTGATTTCATCTTGTAAATAATTCTATTTCTTTTTCCTATATAATAAATCTTTAGATAGTTTATTATAGGATTGGCTACAAGTATTGTTTTTGGTGTGAAATCGAAGGTGCACATGACCTGGGGTAAGCGGCCCTTTGGGACTGGGACTAATCTGAATGTTGCTGAGTTCTTCGGCGTAAGGGACCATCTATCACAAAGGCAAGCCTACCTGGGTGGCAAGACAGATTGGAGTATCCAAGGGGACTATCTGTGACTCCATGTTAAGGCTGTTTTAGTGCCCGAGGAGTTTACAGTTGATAATTGGTTGGCAAAATCGAAGTATAGAACTCTCAGCCAATTTGGGTTTTTTGCTGTTTCTTAACAGTCTGCCCTGAGGTTGGTACCCACACTCTTGAGCCACTGCAGGACAGACTGACATCTTAATTTTGTGGGGAGAACTTATCTTGGTGGGGCTATGTTGCAGAGGCTGCAATATTTGTGAAGCTCATATGGAGCACAGACCATACGGATGCTGAGAAAATGACAGTAAGTGTTGATGGGCAAAGCAAATGAAACTTCTCGTCCAATGGGAGGAGCGGAGCCCACTTGAGATACTCACAGTGGGCTGCATAGATGGATGGTAGATGCAGTGTTGAAGAGAGGGAGTGGGTATGTCAGTCCAGAATTAGGATCCTAAAGATTAGAAATGATGGGATTTGCTGGCAGATCTTGCAAAGTATCTCAATGCAAAACCCACAGATTCCTATCTACAGGCACAGTGACTGAAGGTACCATTTGGAATAGGTATACTGAGTGAGTCACCTGTGGTTCCTTTAGAAACTTCTTTTATATTTTCAGAATTGTTCTTTGAAAATTGGCAGTGCTCAAGACAGCATATGAAACCTTAATGTTAAGAACAACCTTTTCAGACATGATCATTAGACATTCAGACATTAGGTGCCTCCTTTTGTGGGTTCTCAACTTGAGATGTATTGGGCCTAATATTTTAGAGGTGACGAGCATCTTCAACTCCCATTGATTTCATTTGGATTTGTGGTTGCTCAGTGCCTCTGATAATCAGATCTAAGCTATCCCAGGTTTTAAAACTGCCTGAAGGAAATTAAATCCAGCATGTCAGTTCCACCCAGAACAAGGAGCAATGGTCTCAAGTTGCAGTGTGGGAGGTCTAGGTTGGATATTAGGAAACACTATTTCACTAGGAGGGTGGTGAAGCACTGGAATGCGTTACCTAGGGAGGTGGTGGAGTCTCCTTCCTTGGAGGTTTTTAAGGCCCGGCTTGACAAAGCCCTGTCTGGGATGATTTAGTTGGGAATTGGTCCTGCTTTGAGCAGGGGGTTGGACTAGATGACCTCCTGAGGTCCCTTCCAACCCTGATATTCTATGATTCACTCACTTAATAACTAAGCAGTAGAAGTTGGCTACAGATTTATGCTGGGGAAAAAGCCTCCAAATTTTGAATGGCCATGAAAGTACTTTAATGTGCCTACCTAAGTTTAGTATTTTTAAATACAGTAGTTCATTTTGTGTGCAGTCAGTAATGATAGAAAAACAAGCCTAAACTCTAAGAGGAAGTTTTTTTTTCCTTTCAACAGTCAGCTGTGGTAGCACTAAATAATTTTCATCTTACACATACACCAAATGTCCCTTTTACTACCACTTTTACTACTCTCAGCAATTAAATCTCCAGGTAGTAGCAAAATGTGCAGAATTATGGGGTTCGGTTCAAGGGAGATCCAGGATACAGGTCTGATAGGCAAACTTGCTCTAGAATAAAAGTTGTGTGTATAATACTCTTGTCTTCTACTATGAAAGATACAGACATGGATTGGGATGGATTTAATCTTTTTAACATCTGATTTCTCTTGCTTACCTAGGTTGGTATTCTGAAAAAGATGTTTTTAAAACCTTTTACATATCCACTACCCGAAACAAGGTTTCTTCATGCAGGCAGAAGTGTATATAAACTTAAAATCAGATATGGCAACTTCCTCAGGTAGGCAAGTTTCTTACTCCTAGGTATGAACCAAACCCATACTTTCACCCCACAACAGCATGAGGCTACAGTAAGAATGTATTGTACTGCTATCTCAAAATGAGGATTTTGGGAGATTCTTCATTTACTAAGCACTAGCACCACTTCTGAAGGTTCCAAACTGCAACAGTTCTATTTTTGGTCATGTAGGACTGGATATTTCAGCTTCAAAGTTCATTAACACCAGACTGAGCATTGGCCAGAGGGAGTCACCTGAGACTATGAAATGGTCTTCATGCTCTCTCTTCCAGACGAGTTGAGGACACTGCCCTTTTATTATTATCGGTGGAGCTCGTACCTATTACTGTAGTTAAGATTGCCTAACACTTTCCATTATAAGGCCTTGTTTTCTGTTGCTTATAATTTTGCTAAACTTTAAATGTTTTGTCTGAAACTTTCCTGTTGAGTATCTGCCTCAGACTTTTTTTGCAACTTTCATCTAAAATAGTTCAGCTGTTTACAAGAATGAAGTTAAGGAAAAATATGTTCTTCTTCGAGTGATTGCTCATGTCCATTCCAAGCAGGTGTGTGCGCGCTGCATGCATGCCAGCTGGAAGATTTTACTATAGCAGCGTCTGTAGTGTCGGCTTTGGCGCCCCCTGGAATGGCGCCTTCATGGCGCTGTATATAGGGGCCAGCCGACCCTCCACCCCCTCAGTTCCTTCTTACCACCGGTGACGGCTCGCTTGCTCTTCAGCAATCGTAACAGTGTTCCGTCGTTGTTGTAAATAGTTAGTTAGTTAGTTTGTTAAGTGTTAGCTTAGTTAGTTATTACTTGGGGGGTTTCCCCAATTTTTCGTCGCCCCGCTGGGGCATGCCCGGGTCCCCAGGGTTCAAACTCTGCTGGGACTGTGGGAAATTCATGCCGAAGAGTGACCCGCACTCTTCGTGCTTGAGGTGCCTAGGCGAGAGCCACCAAAAAGACAGGTGCAGTATCTGCAGGGCTTTTCGCCCCAGGACTCTCAAAGATAGAGAGCAGAGACTTAAAGTCCTCCTAATGGAGGCGGCCCTGTGGCCGCAATCAGATCCCGGGCCTACTGAGATGGCACCGAGCACTTCATCCTCGGTGCGCAGTGCTCTAGCGCCAGAGATGAGTTGTGAGGCCAAGGCTACCAAACCCCGGCACCGGAGAGAGTCGGCGCACAAGAAACTGTCCTCTATGAGACACCGTTCCCCATCACCAGTGCCGGTTAAAAAGAACAGGCCGGTGAGGGATCGTTCTACACACCGGGACTCTAAAGGGCCGGCGCTGTCCATGTCTACTACAGGACAATTCGTGCCACAGACCCATCCGGCCATCCCGTTGACTCCCGCCCTGGAGAGGGTACGGTCGAGTCCGGAAAAGCCTAGATCCCCGGACACAATGGAGGAAGTGCGCCTCCCATCGACCCCAGAGGCGTTCGAGGCCGCCTCAGACCTCTTGAACCTCCCGGTGCCAGCGTCGCCGCACCGGTGCAGAGAACCTCCGGCTACCGCTTGGCCCCATTATCAATCTAGGGGTAAACCGGTGTTGCTCTTGCCGCGCTCCCTGTGCCACGCCACTCTAGCGGCACTGGTGCAGACAGCACCCTCTACGGCGACAGTGGGTACTGTGCCTCCTATGTCCTCCTACTCGGAAACTTTGGACTCGGAGGCGGACTCGTACCGCTCTAACAGATCGAGAAGTAGGCGATCGTCCTCGCGTACGAGTGCCCAGCCATACCCACCACAGTGGCAGCAGCAACAGTGGCAACCGCCCCCCCAGTGGCCTTTCTGGACGCCGTGGGCCTACCACCAGTCAGTGGGTCAGGCGTACGGACCCCGCTCATGAGCTGCATCTGTCTCTTTGACGTCCGCGGTACCGCCGCTAATGCCACCACCACCGGCACTGCCGTCTGACAGGAGTGTGCCACAAAGGGACACGGCACCACCTAGCCAGACAACGGCACCAACAGGGACCTTGCTTCCAACACCGCAGGCACCGCCTAGCACGCCTCGTCGCTCGGTGTCGACCCCGGTACCAGCCGCGGTGCCGCATCCCGAGCCTGCACCGGCCGCGCAGCCTGAGTACCGTGTGCCGCAGGCCCTCGTAGAGGGAGAGGGGGTAGATGAAGGCCCTCTTCAAGGGATCTCTTCCTCCTCATCTCTGGACGAGGCAGTAGCGGGAACTTCAGCGGCACCGCCCCTGGAGGACAATAGGATCCTCCAACAACTGCTTACTCGAGCAACCCAAAGCCTCTCGATCCAGACTGAGGAGATCGAGGTGGACACGGATCCGGTGATTGATATCCTGACCCCGTCAGGCCCATCCAGGGTAACCCTACCTCTCATAAAGACCATTACGGACACAACCCGCACCTTATGGCAAACCCCTCCTCATTGGCCCCTATGGCCAAAAGGACTGAGAGGCGATATTTCGTTCCAACCAAGGGCTATGAACATCTTTATACACACCCTCCCTGGGACTCCCTAGTGGTGGATGCCGCCAACCAGAGGGAATGCCAGGGTTTTCAGGGGGCTACGCCTAAAAATAGAGAGGCCAAAAAGTTGGACCTGTTTGGGCGCAAGGTTTATTCAATGGGGTGCCTGCAGTTGCGCATTGCCAATCAGCAAGCCATAGTGAGCTGGTATGGACACAACACGTGCTCAGCTTTGTCTAGGTTCACAGACCTCCTTCCACAGGAGTTGCGAACTGAGTTTTCAGCCCTGGTTGAGGAGGGAAGATTGATTACCCGGACTTCCCTACAGGCGGCCCTTGACGCGGCCGATTCAGCTTCACGCACGTTGGCGACTGGTCTGGTCATGAGGCGTGGAGCCGGGCTTCAAGTGTCCGGCCTGCCTCACGAGGTCCAACAAACGATCCAGGACGTCCCTTTCGAAGGGCCCACACTCTTCTCGGAGAAAACCGATAAGAGGCTTCATAGCCTAAAGGACTCACAGACCACTCTCCGTTCACTAGGCCTCCACACCCCTGTCACTCAGCGTAGACAGTTTAGGCCACTGCAGGCCCCCCGGCCGTACCAACCTCAAAATCGAGGGGATGCCTTGCGCAGAAGGCCAAGGACGGGCAGGAGGAGGCAACAACAGCAGCCCTTCGGCCAGTCTTCTACCCAACCAAGGCCTACACAGGGGCCTAGACCACCATTTTGATGGCCCGGTCGAGGATGACCTACCGGTCAGAACTCTGGATCCTACCAACCTTACCTTTTCGTCACGTCTGTCCCCCTTCTATCGTGCATGGGCCCAGATCACGTCCGACGCTTGGGTGCTTCGCACGGTAAAGGAGGGATATTCTATCCAGTTTTCCTCCCTCCCGCCCCACCAGCTCCCCTCCCCATCCCTCTTCAGGGACCCTTCTCACGAGCAACTTCTACTTCATGAAGTTCAGTCCCTCCTCGCATCAGGGGCAGTAGAGGAGGTTCCTCAGGCGCTACGGGGCAAGGGCTTCTATTCTCGATATTTCCTAATACCGAAAGCGAAAGGGGGCCTCAGACCCATTCTAGACTTGTGTGGTCTCAACAAGTTTGTGAAAAAGCTCAAGTTCCGCATGCTCTCCCTGTCCTTCATCATTCCTTCCATGGATCCAGGAGACTGGTATGCCGCCCTCAACTTAAAGGACGCATACTTTCATATTGCGATAATCCCTCGGCACAGGCGTTACCTCAGGTTTCTCGTGGGCAACGCTCATCTACAATTTATGGTTCTGCCCTTTGGTCTGTCAGCAGCCCCAAGGGTCTTCACGAAGTGCATGGCAGTCGTGGCTGCCTTCCTACGCAGGCACGGGATCCAGGTGTTTCCCTACCTGGATGATTGGCTCATCAAGGGCAGGTCCAGGGTGCAAGTGGAGGCTCAGGTGGTCTTTGCCAGGCAAACCTTCCTCGAGCTCGGCCTCTTACTCAACGAGGCCAAGTCCACACTATCTCCAACCCAAAAAATTGAATTCATAGAAGCGGTTCTGGACTCGACACACGCCAGAGCATATCTCCCAGAGGCCAGATTCCGGACTATATCCAACATTTTCCTCGGCCTCCAACGTTACCCCACCACCACAGCAAGAAGCTGCCTCAAATTACTAGGGCACATGGCAGCATGTACCTACGTGGTGAGACACGCCAGACTCAGACTGCGCCCTCTCCAGTCTTGGTTGGCACGGGTTTATTGGCTAGTCAGGGACTCCCTGGAATCGGTGGTGACATTACCTCAGCCAGTGCTGGACTCCCTTCAATGGTGGCTCGACCCGTGGGTGGTCTGCGCAGGAGTTCCTTTCCTCGACCCCGAGCCCTCCCTCTCCCTGGTAATGGACAGATCGGGGATGGGGTGCACATCTGGGCGACCTCAGAACCCAAGGCCTTTGGTCACGAGAGGATCTTTCACTCCACATCAATGTCAGGGAACTACGAGCTGTGCGCCTCGCATGCATAGCCTTCAAATCCCAGCTGGCAGGCAGGTGCGTTTCTGTCCTCACGGACAATGCTCCAACGATGTTCTATATCAACAAACAGGGTGGTGCTCGCTCTTCTCCCCTTTGCCGGGAAGACCTCGCATTATGGGACTTTTGCGTACAGAACGTAATTCACCTGACAGCATCCTACCTCCCGGGGGCGCAAAATGGGCTCGCGGATGCACTCAGCCATTCGTTCTAGGGTCACGAGTGGTCTATCCGCTGGGATATAGTTCTCTCAATTTTCCAGCTCTGGGGTCATCCCCAGGTGGACCTATTTGCCTCCACCGAGAACAGGAATTGTCACCAATTCTGCTCCCTCAGGGGACGCAGTCCGGGGTCCCTAACAGACGCCTTTCTCCTCTCTTGGACAGACGGGCTATTTTACGCCTTTTCCCCGATTCCCATGATTCACAGAGTAATCCTCAAGGCCTGCAGAGATCACGCTCGGCTCATCCTGATAGCGCCGGCGTGGTCTCGCCAGCACTGGTACACGTCTCTCCTGCACATGTCTATGCGGGTGCCACTCAGGTTGCCCCTA